CAAAAGTGATGTAAACATGGACGAGACAATGACTAGATACGAATAAGAGTAGATGACAGAATGCCTTTAGATAAGTACTTTTAAATGAAAGTATGAATTACCAGTGATTATCAAATATTGGGAAAAGAAGAAAATGATGGAGAAAGGAACAAAATAACAGCCCTACGCAACGCCGGAGCAACATTCTGCTTGAAAACCCTGTGAGCCCAGGCAGGAGCTACTATTCGGACCCCAAAAACGCCTTTACCTTTCTCCCTCTTAAATGGCTAAGCTCGCCCACTTGCCGCGTTAGCGTCCGGCCCCACAGTATGATCACTGTAGTACACTTAAATGGATTGATACCAATTAAGAAGTCAGTGAGGAGAATAAATCCATCGCCTTGAATCTGAGCTGCTCGATAGGATCACGGAGCGCAAATCGTAAAAGGAGCAAACATCGCACCAAACAGAAAAAATGCTATTCAAACAAATAAGCGCCCATATTTCAAAATCCACTGCAAATTTGAGCGAACATTATGGGACCACCAAACATCGGCATTACCTGTATTTCTATCACAGAGGTTGCAAACACACTTTGCACGAGGTTTGTCCTGTCCAGGCAATCAACACAGTTCACCCGAAAGACACCCTCTTGTTTACAGATGAGGTAGTCTTTGTGCAGCCTATCGAGAAAGAACGACGTGAGAGCAAAAAAAAAATTCCACAGCATGGCATGCATTAATGCACAACGTACCAGCAATACTTCATATCACGGATGATATCCTTGACACCATCTAGAAGAACAGAAACGTTCCCGAAGCGAAAACCCTTGCTGCGAACGAATATTTGAAAATAAAAACCGTAATAAATTGATTGGGGATGACATGCAACACGAAAGATCTATTTAATCAGCGGCAATAAGGCAAACCTCAACTTATTTCCTAAATTGTGAACAGAGGGCCGAGACTAAACACTATTAAAAGTATCCTCTAACAGCCCAAAAGATGCGTCCAAATATTGTGGAATTCACTGTAAGAATCAGACAACATTCATCAACATAACTTAGTGCTCATGACAAAATCCCAAGGTCAAGCCTTCCGGCTACAAAAAAGCAGGAAGAAAAAACTCACGAAACCCACAAAAGTGGAAACCCAACAAAAGTATCAAGTCTAACTGAGTAGACTCATAAACAGGGAAGAAGTTCGTCTTTTTTAGTAATATGGAGTTCGGTACTAATGATAATGTGGAGACTGCAAGGCCAAGTAAAGCGAAACTACGAACATGGGCACAGGACGTGACTCACCAATATTCGTGAAAATCAAAACCGACATATGTGATGTTAGGATTGTTGAAAAGTAGGAGCTGCCGCACAAATGCCTCAGTGATTTTGCTCTCCTGATGACCTGGTGCAGTCTCAACCAAATTCACTACAACCAACCGGTCAAATTTCCGCAGTGGACGCTCAATATGTAGGCGAAAGGCCTCTCGATTCTCCGATAGACCTACACAGGTATAGTAAATATGTTTAGGGTCACAATACTTCGTTTGGTAACCAGAATTGCATGGTTTTAGCATTGTTTTTAAATATATGGTAAAACGTAGCTGAAGGCATTAAAGGTGCTGGACTCAACTAAAATGCATTACTGATCGAAGACTGAGTGAGAAAGCGAATCACACGGAACCCAACTCATATAGCAATAGGGATTGCAAGAGACGAACACCGGTCATACTTTTATGCAGTTGGATCGGAGGTTTGTATTTTATGCCCGTTTGGGTCCAAAAGACTGGCACAGAGCCGCGGATCTGCAGGAAGGAGAGGACGTGTACACTCACCTCGCTGGGGACTTCCAACACCTGCAAATAAAGTTATGGAGAATGTGAGCTTACTTATTGTTGTCCAGTAATTCAAGCAAAAGTTTTGTCTGTTCCAAAAAACGAACAAAACAATGGATGATTAATTTTCAAATTTATCTTTGAAGAACTGACGAGAACACAGTGTACGTAATCGAGGTCAATTCATACAATCATAAAATATTTACAAAGAATGCTAAGAAACACAGCGAACACTAGGACAGGATAAACAGCTTAGAGGTTATCACGACAATGGTAATTTTTACCTGTTCCGTTTCGACATAATTAGCCACATATCCCTTTTCGTCAATGCCTCTTCGTCGGTATCTACAACCTAGAAGTAGAAATATGATGAGCAATAGGCGAAATCGGGATTGTATCGCTAAGATCATTAAAAGCACAACACGAACGCTCTCGTACCGGCTCTGAATTGACTTCTCCGAGAGATGATAGTCAGGGTGACGGGATCTGATGTATTCGGACTAATGCTACCGTCCACGTCCCACATATGAAGGGCTAGTTTGTGCTGTTTCACAAAACCGTTGATAACCGGCGGGAGCATGGACTCAAGAGCACATAGACACTCTGTCAAGCGAGTGGGTTGACCTGCCCCTACGGGTGCTCGCCGTCTTGGCTCACACGTCTCCATTTCATCCTCCAGTCCCGCACTTTCATCAACAGGGGAGAGTGATCGGCTTGCAGTAACAAATTTGGGCAGTCCCTCTTCCATATGTAGGTAGTGGAGAGCGGCAGCCACAAGATCTTGAAGAATGCGGTGATTCCACACGAAGGAATCGTCGTAACGGCACCAAATGGGTGGCCAGTAGGTACGAGGGCATATCTTCAAATCACCCCAATCGCAAAGCTCACCTCGCAGACGTCGATATTCCCGTCTCTGCGACCAAAGCGTCAAATCGCCACCGCACTTCGTAAAGTAAAATTGGTCCGATTCGCCCTCAAAAAGCTTTTCCATCTCCTACAAAAACACGATACCAAGGCTTTCCATCAGAATTTTTACATGAGCCGATACTAATAACAGAAACGTGAGCGGAAAAAAAAGCATGGAAATACTTATTGCTTGCCAAGAGAAAGGGCCT